ATCTTAAATACAGTTTTATCTTATCTGATCTTAAATAAAGCTTTATCTTATCTTAACTTAAATAAAGCTTTATCTTATCTTAACTTAAATAAATTTTTATCTTATCTCATTTAAAGTTTTAGCTTATCTTATCTTAAATAAAGTTTTATCTTATCTTAAATAAAGTCTTATCTTAGCTTATCTTATATAAAGTTTTATCTTATCTTTTTATCATATCTTATCGTATCTTATCTTAAAACTTAGGAAGATGCATCTCCCCAGATTCACAGACTAGAACTATTCTAAACTTAAACAGAGTTTCTTTACAGGAACAAGTCTCTTCCTATTTGTATATCTCTACATCAGTGTCAGCAGCTGCAGTTTGAACAGAACCACACTCCAAACACAGATGGCAGTGACGAGTGCAGTCAGAACCCCTGAGACACAGACCTGAYGTGATTAAAGGTGATGCATGGATACACTTACTGGATTTGGAGTTTAAAACTCGCGTTTTATGAAAACCAACTTCAACGACAGAGAGAGGCTGCTTAGAATGAAATCAGTGAGATTTATGATCAAAAAGGTTTTACTGCTGCTGCTGAAAAGTACAACAAAAGCTTATGAAAGAGACTTTTTATTTTTGTTGAAGGACAAAGCAAGAATAAAGAGGTTGAAATGGTTTAATTTATTCTGATTGTTAAGTTGAGCTGAACTCCTCTGTCTTATGTTTTCTTATTCAGCTGCAGGAGTGAAAATCTTAAAGACCTTGAAAAGTTGGTCTTCCAGCAGGTGCAATGGGGAGATAACTGAAGGTGTTGATGTAGCCTGCAGTGATTAGCGGCTGTTTATCAGTGAGGGGTTCATTACTGCAGCCAGTGGGCTTGGATGGTCATTAGCTAGCCCTGTGCTGACACTAATGCACTCCCAGCTAACAGACTGACTCTGGATCAGCCACACACACACACACACACACACACACACACACACAAACACACAGGAAGTCTATAAGGAATTAGAGCAT